GGCCAGCCGCCGACTGCCGAGATGGACAGCGGAGAGCAGCGTCGCGTGACGGTGCTGGAGCGCTGCTTGGGCTCCCTCGCCGCCGTCAGACCTGCGCCTCCTCCGCTGCAGGAAAAGGTCGAGGCCTCCAACTTCAGCGAGTGGCTTCAGCTGAACTATTGCCCCACCAAACACTCGGAGATCCTGCGTTCCCTCCAGCCGCAGGAGCAGCTCACCTTCGCTGCCGCCCGAGAGGACGAGGAGGCGGCCGTGGAGATCCACTGGACGCCGGTTTTCGGAAGGTATCTCGTGGCCGCACGGAACATCACCGCGGGTGAAGTTTTGTTCCGTGAGGCGCCCTTGGTGGTGGGGCCCAAGGCAGGGGCGGGGGCCACCTGCTTGGCGTGTCTGAAGACGCTGCCGGGGGACACGTGGGAAGGCTGTGAGCACTGCGGCGCCCCGCTCTGTCGCCCGCAGTGCGGCGGAAAAGGACACAGCGAGAGGGAGTGCGGACTGCTTACGCTTCTCGGTCTTAAACACGAACCTCAAAACACTAGCCGCATCAGGCAGCTGAACGCCCTTCTGGCGCCCCTCAGGGTCCTTCTGCTGATGGAACGGACGCCGGCGGTGAAGGCCATCGTGGACGCGCTGCAGAGCCACGTGGAGGAGCGCCGCGACCTACCGATCGGTTGGTTCGTCGAGACGCACATCGTGGCGGTGCTGCAGGAGAGGCTGCGCGTGGCGTTCGCGGCGGAGGAGATCCGGCGCGTGTGCGGCGTGTGCGACACCAACAGCTACCAGGTGAGCGAGGGCGAGGGCAGGGTCGGCCGCGCGCTTTTCGTGGCGGCGTCCCTCATGAACCACTCGTGCTCGGCCAACACCCAGCACTGGTATAGGGACGGCGTCATGAGCGTGCGCGCCGTGGTGGACATCCCCGAGGGCGCGCCGGTCACGTACGCTTATACCAACGTCCTGTGGGGCACCCGAGCCCGCGCCGCCCACCTGGCCACCGCCAAGCTCTTCACGTGCGGGTGTGAGCGCTGCGTCGACCCCACGGAGATGGGTTCGCATATCAGCTCCGTCAAGTGCCGCGAATGCCCCCAGGGCCTTATGCTGCCTCCGTCAGCAGCCAGCGCCCCTTGGCAGTGCCGGGCGTGTGGCGCCAGCGTATCTGCAATCGCCATAGATACTTTGGTGCGTGCTGGGGGAGCCGCCCTGGGTCGCCTGCGGCCAGAGGACGCCCAATCCGTCTCGGCCACCCTCGCCCACCTCACGCTCCTCCTGGGCGACACGCACTACGTCGTTGTCGAGGTCAAGCACGCTCTTGTTCGTGCCATTATGGCGACGTCACTCTCGGGTAAGAGCGGTTCATTTCTACTCAAAAATCACATGTCACACCGGCATGGACATATTGTCAGAGGTAGACGAATGGAGACAAAGAACCATGTGCTGATCATAAGACAAAATAGAAAAAGACTAAAAGTAATTATTTCCTTTCACATTCGAACAATATGTTTGATGCCGAACACCCTCAATTTCTGTTTCGCCTCTCGCAGATATAACCCAGGTTGACCTTGAGAGGGTGTTAGATTTGACCTCTGACCTGCTCCGCCTTGCTGACCGGTTACAGCCCGGACTTACCAAAATCAGAGGTATGTAGGTAAAAAAGAAACAAAATCAAGATCTCTTCATTTTCATAATGAAGAAGGTGACAGTTCATGTCCTGTATACCATTTGCTTGGGTACAAATGTTATTTTCTTAACCCGTGTTAATATGCTTGGTATGTTCAGATCTATCTTTTTGTATTATCTATTCGTTATGGATACATTTTGTCGTTTTTACTTAAAAATTGTTACAGCAGACTTAACATTTCTGGAATGACTTTGACATCGAAATCAAGAAAAAATGAATCAACAGGAATTCCTAAGTAAAAAATATCACATCGTAACGCAATTCTGTACGTGTAACACCCACACAGACGAGGATACAAGCCCACTCACTTGAAAGTACACACTCTCTGGATGTTATCTAGAGTGCGTGGTTTCGGATCTTTGTCAAGGAGGGTGTTACATATATATTCTTGACTTCCCTACACGGAGCACCTATTCCATTTCAGGCATGTTGCTACTGGAGCGCTCCCGTGCTCTGGCGGAACTACTGTTGCGCTGCAACACGGGGACGGTAGGCGAAACTGCAGCTTATTTGGAAGCTAAAATATGCAACATTCCCGGTTCTGCGACTCTTTTACAGGTACAGCGAATTATCCTCACTGGTTTTGGCTGAAACCATTTTATTTACTTTTTTTTCTTTATAGGACAGGGTAAAGGAGACTAGCAATCACTAAGTTCCGCGTTCGCATCCGACCAGCCACTCTAGCCGTGACTGAGTACTGGCATCAGGATGCTAGGGTCAAAGTCAAGGCGGAAAGGAATGGTCTCCCTACCACAGACATGTCTACTATGTGCACTTGGCTCACAGCAAAAGCCAGTTCCACATGCTTCTAAGTCTTGCTACTAGTGA